CTAGATTGACATTAGATTATTATAAGTATTATTATTTATCTGAATGTGTTCCTATCTGTCGTTTTTGTTGCAGGTCACTAAGTCATTTATTGTTAATTAATCTTACATATATCATGTGAAATGATTAATTAATGTTTAAGACACTTTTAAATCGTAGTGAAGTTTACCACAAAGATTTTGTGCAAAGATTTTTCAATGGCAGTTTAATATTGAAAAGAATTTAGTAACGTAATACAATTCCAATGCGTAATTAAAATAAAGGTAGTCTTACTGTTATGTTATTTTTCATAATTTTCGGTATTCAATGATATTAAGGGATTAGTGATTGTAAAAAATCTAATGCCCAAGACTTTGAAGAAATTTTTTCCGGAAATAACCGATTTGCTACGATATGGTGACAACTTTTTAACAACAGTTTTATTGTTTTACCCTAAGTTAAAAATCCGAATAATTTACATCTTTGTACAGTAACGCCTAACGACAGAAACCAAAGTATTTGATTCCTACAAGTTCACTCTACTATGACTCTAATGTACTTGTGTGTATGATAATAAATATTTTCAATTGTATCTCTTGAGATTTCTTTCTTGATAACTGCAATCGTTAGGGCTTTTTTAAATATTCTTAAAGATTTTGTCATTTAAACATAATATAGGAAAACGAATTAAACTATTCAAAACTAGAACTGCCACTATCATGGCGTGAATACCCCCGCATACCACTTTGTCAGAATCAACAGTGGCCATTTAGAGCTCAAGGACAACCTCCCTGTCAAATCTGAGGTGACTAAGCCAGTGCATTGCTAAGTTATGTATTCTACATGCTTCAAATGTGAAAATGTCAAAATCAATACATTGCGGACAGGACATTCTTTAGCAATTGAGAAGAAAAGCTTTTTTTTGTCAAGGTCCCTGTGACCTTTGACCTGGTGACCTAAAAATCAAAAGGGGTCACCTTATAGTCATGATCAACATCCATGCCAAATATGAAGACTGTGGGTCAAAGGAATCTTAAGTTAATGGGTGGACAAACTTTTTGAAGTCAAAGTCCCTATGACCTTGACCTTTGATCCAGTGACCTCAAAATCAAAAGGGGTCATCTACTAATCATGACTAACCTCCATTTCAAATATGAAGACTGTGGGTCATAGGAATCTTAAGTTATTGGGCGGACAAGCTTTTTGAAGTCAATGCCCCTGTGACCTTGAACTTTGACCTGGTGACCTCAAAGTCAATAGGGGTCATTTACTGATCATGACTAAGCTCCATGCCAAATATGATGACTGTGGGTCAAAGGAATCTTAAGTTATTGGGCGGACAAGCTTTTTGAAGTCAAGGCCCCTGTGACCTTGACCTTTGACCTGGTGACCTCAAAGTCAATAGGGGTCATCTACTAATCATGGCTAACCTCAATGTCAAATATGAAGACTATGGGTCAAAGGAATCTTAAATTATTTGGCGGACAAGCTTTTTGAAGTCAAGGTCCCTGTGACCTTGACCTTTGACCTGGTGACCTAAAAATCAATAGGGGTCATCTACTAATCATGACTAACCTTCATGCTAAATATGAAGACTAAGGGACAAAGGAATCTTAAGTTATTGGGCGGACAAGAAAAAACCGACGGACGGCCGGAGGGACGGACGGACGAGCTGATACTAGTATACCCCCCTTACAACTTTGTTGTGCGGGGGTATAATTAATGATGCTTTAGATTTTTAGAATTTTGGACAAGGAACCTTATCTGTTCATTTGAAAGACACACAAACACTAAATAAATGGTGCAGAAACCTTCTTGAAATGTCCATCCACTGAATGACAGAGAACAACATTTCATTTTATTGAATGGAAAACTAAGGTATATATGGTAGAAACTAGATTGACATTATTAATTAATTAATTAATTATAATTTCTAATTTTTATCTCAATTTGATCGTATCTTTCCCTTTTTGCATGTCACTAAGTCATTTATTGTTGATTAACCTACAATATGTCATGTGAAATTATTAATTTATGTTAAGGAAATTTTTAAATCGTAGTGAAGTTTGCCACAATCCTGTTGCTGCAAAGATTTTTCAATGGCAGTTTAATACTGAAAAGAAATAAGTAACTCAATGCAATTCCAATGCATAAATAAAATTAAGGTAGTCTTACTGTAATGTTATGTTTTACAATGTTCGGTATTTAATAATATTTATATGTTTTAACCGGAATTTAGTACAAAGCGATAAGGGATGAGTGATTGTGAATAATCTAATGCCCAGGAGTTTGAAAAATAACTTTCCAGAAATAACCAATTTGCTCCGATATTAGCCGATGTTAGAAGTTTCTAACGGGAAAACATTACAGTAAGACTACTTTAAATAAGAAAAATTGAGAGAATAACAATATAAATCATTGCATATAACATACATTATTAAAGGGATACTCAGGCAAATTAATGACAAAAACATTACAATGATCTTATGTACTCAAATCAAGCTAAAATGACTTCTGTATAAATTCTATATAATTTGGGTTTGAACCATAAATATGTCTATATATATTGAACGAAATTTAGACACCGACATAATCACCAAGTAATCTTATAACAAGTCATGTGACTTAAAAAAAATCTGGAAGTTACAAAAATAGATATTGTGGATATTGTATATTTGAAACAAGTCTAAGTCAGTCATTTGACATGTACTTTAACGTTCCAAGAGTTCACTATGACAACTATTGTGAAATCTTTACACTCTAACCTGACCCTCGTGGGCCATGTTGGGAAACCACCATTTCATTCTTTATAAGTAGGACAGTTTTGTTCCTGTGACTGCTGAGTGTATTTCGAAGACATTTACAGAATAATGAATGAAAACTTCAAAAAGAATAAATTAAATGTTTGCCTGTGTCTCCCTTTAAAAGGGAAGAAAGTTGAAGAAAAAGCGACATAGAAGAAGAATGTGCTTTGCAAGTATTGAACCAACCAGTAGTAAGCAATTGACACCTTTCGAAAACCTAGCTAAACACCATTTGCCGATATGTTACGGATTTAGTTATGGGGAATTACACCCTATAAAGTACACAACATTATGACATGTATGAGGTGATTTTTCTGGGTTTTTTTCTATCATTATTTTACCCTTTAAGGTAAAAAGACTAGATGTGAGTTTCTGTGTAAACTTGTATATTTACAAAAAACCTTCATGGAATTATTAGAACAATGGTATTTTTACTATTTTCTTACAATGAAGTTATTGTTTTATTTCATTTTAATCTCTAAATGGTCAAAAACATACAGATCGTTATTACACGCCATAAAGGTGAATTCCACAAAACTATGTACCTAGTCCAAATCGATAGATCCCTTACTATGATCTTTTATTTGAATAACAATAGATTTAACCACAAACATTGACATGTGCTCTTTTGTTAACGAATAGGTTGTGGTGAAATTCTTTTTGTATCCACTAATCTGATAATTAGAACTAGACAGGTCAGGGATCTATGCATTACAAGACCTATATTTAACCTACTTCATTAATCTGATATTTTGCATTTTTCAGTTTCCATGTTACGTTAGAAAAAAAGCGTTGATAATGTAAAATGTAAAATTTCACAATGATTAATATAAAATGTTATATAACTTTTTCATGGCTAATTATTTGGACTTTTGTGTACCGGGATATGGCGTTAAGCTATGTTTTTGTGTCAATGAATGACTGTAATAATTCAAACAGCGGACTACATCGACACAACCAGTAATCTTTAGATTACTAGCCCGACGAAAAAGCCGCAAAAGGAATATTATGGTGGCTGAGATGGTGCATTGCGCATTGCGTTGCCGATAGCGACAACGCAACCTACATCGTGTTCGCCTGTCATGTCTTGTCGCTAGCGACAACACGACAAAGCGCCATACGACGCGTTGTCAACAACACGCCGCACGGCAACGCGCCATTTGTCGTTAGCGACAGGACGACAAGACGGAAGTCCGAATACGCGCCAATGGGCGCTTTGTCATGTTTTCGCTAGCGCCAATACGACGCACAGAAGCGTTCCAAATCAGCCACCATAGAATATCTAAAAAACAAACTTACGTTTCAAGTTGAAGCGTAATCATCCCAGGAAGACTGATGATAAATCCGTCAAAAGCATTAGAACTGTAGAATATATCCCGTGTTGTCAAAGGCATTAAAATATAGAACAATGATAGCTCAGTTGGTTGAGGTTCCTGGGTTCGATCATTGGTAACACCCTTTGAATTTTTAGAGACACATTAAGTGTTTCCCACCTACCTAGAAGTGTACTGGTAAGAAATCCAGGTAATCCTTGCATGTATCAGTGGTATGCACTGGACATGTGAAAGAACCTAGGGGTCGGTGTATTCAACAAAAGCTTGGGACTGGTTCATTGTTTCCCTTGTATCTTATAGCTGTCTCTGAAGTCTAGAGTAATGTCTATGTCCCCGCGATGGGGTTTGACATAAATGTCAGATAGATAGATAACAATGTTTAATACTCCACAAACTTGAACAGTTTCTCACGAACATTATTGTCAGTTGTTTCATTTGATGATTTAGTTGAATAAGAAGAAACCCAAGAAAAGTGATATTGTACTTATAAATAAATTCATCATACTTCTAATAACTTTTGATTTGTTACACATAAGTATAAAAACACTCTTGTGGCAAGTTATCTAAAACGTAATGTTTATTTACACGAGTAAAACGACACAATGAAAAAATGTTTATATATCAAGTACACATGCTAACGGATACGTTTACAGTTAAAACATTACCCGATTAAAATCACACGGATTGTCAATGTGTATCTATCCATAAGTTTTGTTAAATGCTGATCAAATATGAAATCAAACATGTTCCTAAACACGGTGAATATGGTATAAAATATGGTTAAAAGATTAATTCAGAAATATTTATATTGTGTTTTGTCGTATATAATTATACTTGCATGTTAATATGTCTGTACTGATATCCGCAATGTACAAATAGCACTGCGAAAAATATACTGATATACGGGAATATACGGTCCCGTATTTTTGACATATACGGGCGTGTACGGGATGAATTCGTCGAATATACGGACCAAGTATACGAGTCCGTATAGGGAACACCGGGTATACGGGAAGTCCGTATATGCATCAGGCATATACGGAATTCCGTATTTGCCCCATATACATGAACGTATATTTGTTCGTACTTTTGAAGTATACGGAGAATAAAATCCCGTATACGGACTATATTAAGGTTGTTTTCCCTAGTATACTATAAATATACCGAGGATATACGGGACCGTATTTTCTACATATACAGAGGATATACGGACTCGTATTTTCTACGTATACAGAGCATATACGGAACCGTATATTCTACATATACAGAGGATATACGGACTCGTATTTTCCACATATACAGATGATATACGGAATTGTATTTTCTACATATACAGAAGATATACGGAATCGTATTTTCTACATATACAGGGGGTATACAGAATCATATTTTCAATATATACAGGGGATATACGGAATTGCATTTTTAGTTGTCCACAGGGAATATAGAACTGTATTTTCTTGATAAAAGAAGATACAGATAATATCAAAAGCATGCATTTACATATAAGTGACACGTATACATGACCGAAATGCAGACTTGTACAATAGAACATGTTTTATTACACATTTTGAATGGGAACTGTAAAGTCATAGACTTAAGAGCTTTATCTTCACAATTGGAGTATTTCAAATAATAAAGTAAAAACCAAATAGAGTCACTCTTAAATATTTATTATTTCATAAACATATATTCAATATGTATACATATATTAAACAAAATAAACATGTCTTCGCCAGTCATATATTGTTGCAAGCCTTATTCCAGAGGGACAAATTAATGTAGCGTTGCAACGGAACGGCGATATACCGGTATGATGCGATACAGAGTCATGAAATACGTATCAAAGTGGAGAAAATCCGCACTGCGATATTTTCTTTAGAGATCGAGTTATACATGTACATGTTTCGATATTTTCAAGCAGTAACCTTTATGAATTGCATGTTGTTTAAATCTAGAACAAACTATACCAACTTGAAGGTTGATTCTATTTATCTTAACAATGATTTTTATGAGCCACTTGTATTACACCCATAAAATATTTTAAAGATATTCATATCATTTGTTTGTGTTAACATTCACATATTATTTTAGGAAAATGAGTCCATAGCACAAATTGATTATTACAGAAAGTTTTAATAATAATCATTAAAACTAAAAATCCGTATTCACAGAAATTCGTCATTCAAACACCGTTCTTAAAAGCACTTTAATATATCAATCATTTATAGGAATGTTACGTAGACCAGTGTGACGGTGTCTATTTCGTGACGTAGGAAATGTTATCTCCAGATATTACAATCCTCTTCGGCATGTGTGTATCTGAAAAAGAGAGTTTAAAATCCTGTTTAAATAGTGTCATGAAATAGTTATCACAACTTTCAAAAAGACTATACACAAGCATTTTTTAAGCGTATACATATATACATTTTTTTTTCTAACGCAAATTTCAAAATTATTTTTTATTATTAGGATAAAGATGTTATTTATAAGCAACCATTTACACAGGATTTAAATGAAATGATTAATCTAAGACGGATGATAAGTTATATGTTTTTGTTATAAAACTTTTACGAATATATTTATTTCACACCTGTAATATAAATGATAATGGTATCTTTGTTCTATGTAAAGAGTGTTTTATTGATTAAAAATATATTAATACAAAATAACATTGTAGTGGGAAAAAGTGCTGACATAATCTTTTTGATCGTTTTACGATGTATGTTAGCATCGTTAGTAGGAGTCAATTCGTTTGAAAAAAAGGCTTAAAAAGTACAGATATTTGTTACTCAGATGTAGACCCGTGTTTGCACAATGATATCCAGTTAAGTAAAAGGCGGAATACCCAGCTATACTTTTCATTTATATAAAAACGTTTATCTTAACAAATTTGGATTATTGTTTGTTTCAATTTCAATTGTTTCAAAAACTATCTCAGCAAAGAATGAATACCTTCAATATACAATAGTGTAGATTAATATTTTTTTTATTGTTAAGACTGTTTAACTAGGTAAGTTGACGATAGAATCTCTTACAGTGTGTCATCTCTAAAATAAAGTGATAATTCTCACGAAATAATAAATCAAAATATCCTCCCTTGCCTATAGCATTAATCTGATAGTATGAAATCAAATTCAGATAATAAAATATACGTATCATATGTGACAATTGCATAAAATAACATAGGAAATATTTTAGTTAATTCATGCGAATGCGACTATTACGTGCGCACGTGAAACATTTACGTATCAACGCAATATGTTTCACGTGCGCACAAGTACTGTGCGTTTAGTATGATTATTAAGTGACGAGGTGGTCAAGTCCACTATCTAGGTGTAAAACAGCTATCATATTGTGTTTATTATCTTCAAACAGGCTAGCTATATAAATTAAATTATCAACAAATTAACCGACTCTCAGCGTAATGCAGTAGGTAAGGTTGTGGTAAATAACAATGCAAGACAGCTAGGCCCGGATTGCACCTTTTTTTCCAAAAATATTGCTTTATAATTATCAATCAGGTTAGAAAGTTTTGTATCATTTATTGTAAAGATTATAAATGCTTAACTTCTCATTTTGTTTTAAGTGTAGCTATATTTAGCCCTATTTTGCAAGTTGGTGCAAACTTATACGGAATGCATGATACTGTACACAGACTGTTTCAACTATAGTTAAGTTTGCACGAAATACTATTGCACTGCAAAAGTACTATGACTACTACATACTACACTCTATACAGGATAACAATCACTATCATCCGTGCATGTATATCTAAATTATTAAATATCATAACAAAACTGCCTTTCTATCCCAATTCATTTTTCTAATTTAAAATTAACAAAAATATATGGAAAGAAAAACGCAAAAAAGTAAGACAACATGTGAGGCTCGAACTTGTGATAAAATTGAATGTGTATGACATTCTAACTTTTCCATCAAGACATTTCAAATTCTGTTTCTTATCTGACATTATATTCGCTTTGAAAACCCTGTTTTACCTATTCAGACAAATGTTGTTAACTTTAGTGTACATGTAAAAAAGAATATGTAACGTCACTCTCACATTATCAAAGCGGCGTACTTATCGCTTTACGTACGTAGTAACTAAAAAATTACTATCATTAACATATATAAAAGTGATTAAACTGTAAAGAAATACATATTTTTTGATACAGTAATATGTTTAAGAAAAGAAAACTAATTTAATAAAATAAAGTCGCATGCACAGTGCATCTATATCAAACCATTGTGTGTATTCGAGTTAATTCTTTTATTTTATATATTTGATTTTTGCATATTAAAAGCAAGTATGGTTTAGCATTTTCAAATGCGCGGCAAAATGCTTATATCATATATGCCTTAATTGGCATCATTTTATGAAGTGTGACATCATTCCGCCTAAGAATTGATTCTAACAAGATATAAAAGAGAACTAATGTATTTATAAGTAACCACATTTATTCTTGTCAAAATATATGCGTGTAATTAAGGAAATTTGACTTTGCCTTGAGAAAGAATAAAAAACACATGATGTCAGTACAGAGTGGAATATATGAGTCTGGGTAACTCTTCTTTACAGACAGTACGTCCGTGTAATTGTCTTATTTTATTCACAAAACACAACAATGTATATACGTGAACTTACATCTATATAACTTGCTACCATACTTTGCTTCATCTACAATTGCTGTAAAGAGGGCACAGCTGCATTTCTAGAAGATTTAACTGTCCTGAAAAATCATAATATAACTTCAGCATAAAATGATAAAGAGCACATTGAAAATATTTCATAAGTGATCACATGTGCGAAAGGGTTAATACTGTAGGAACGTGTTCACTTTTATGTGCATGTGTAGTTATGTATTTTGTGTGCTCGTGCGTGCGTGCGTGTGTTACCATATTGCTTTATGTGAAATATAAGTCACAATATGGAATGTCGAAAAATGTGTGATGTACAAAGGCTCAATACAGTTTTTCAAGCGTTTAAATTTATGTATAATGAAATATTCAATAACTGTTTCCTCAAACAGGCGCGTGTTTGTGACTGACCCATGCGATATCACCTTATGCGTAATGTTTATCTTAAAAACTAAACAAAGAGTTTTTATTATAATAAGAAAAAAATATTTTAAATTTTAATTTGTCCAATAAAAAAATCCCTTGTAAATGTCGAAAACTCAGTTCATGTTTATACAATTTAAAATCTGGGTAATCCTGAATAACGTAGATAAATAATCAAAAATATCGAATGAAAACCAAGAGTTGTCTGTCCTGAATTGCGAGTAAACTCGATCTTGCTAATTACTATTAATGCTAAAACAATACAAACAAAACCGTTTTGAAACTTCTGGTTCGTTGCGATATTTTATATTGACGAGTTTTAAAATTCTTACACCGACAACAGGCTCCTGATCTAAGCTTCGTATCAATGTAAAAATAAACATAATTGAGCCGCGTCACGACAAAACCAACTTAATGGGTTTGCGACCAGCATGGATCCAGACCAGCCTGCGCATCCGCGTAGTCTGATCAGGATCCATGCTGTTCGCTTACAAACTCTATAACAAGTAGAGAAACCGATAGCGAACAGCGTGGATCCTGATCAGACTGCGCGGATGCGCAGGCTGGTCTGGATCCATGCTGGTCGCAAACCCATTATGTTGGTTTTGTCGTGACGCGGCTCATATGTTTTGACACCAAGGGTAAGTGAATTAACAGTTAACTGTTAAACTTAACACCTGTCGGCCATATTACATGCAATCATACACATTCTTTGCATTAATGTAAATAAAAAATTCTGACAATTATTTTCATTTTATTTATTCATCTAAATGTATAATGATTTAAATAAAAAAGAAATGTTTGTTTCCTATTTTTGTTTAAGATTTGTATTCATTTAAGAATAGGTTAATATAAATAAGAAATATATAACAACATGAATACAGAAATTTAAAAAAAGTGAATAAAATTGAAAAGAGCGGAGTCTTTAAATTGACTTATGTTTGCATCAAATAATGGGGATTTATATAAAAATAAAAACTGCGAATATAAAACAAGTATTCTGCTCGTTAAATTATCAAGACTGAGAAACAATTTTATCTAAAAAATTATAAACCTATTTTTTAGAAGTACTTTTTTTCTTTTAAAATATGTTAATCTGTTAAATCTGATAATTTTTGTTATTATATTGAATAGATAAAACATAACCTATTTTTCGGCTATCAATTTCATAAATTACTATTAAAATAAATAGAATTTGAGTGTCTCTTTTCGATATGATCTTTCTTGCACATTGATTCGCACCCCTGCTGTTAAGTGATAATTGAGATCGCTCAAGATCATAAAGTCCAATTAGTTGACCAATCAAGCATACATAGGTCGTGTCACACACACTGATTAATCCCTTTGTATTACCATGTCCAGGGGCTGTAATACCTTGACATCTTCGGTGTTTAAATATCTTAATTTTTTACTCGGTGTCTTTTTTACCCTGAAGGGAAATTATGCTTAACGCATTTAACAAATGCCCTTTTCATATTTTTGATTTGCATTTTTCATACAAATTATTAATTAAACAAGATACAGTTTAGAAATTAAAATCAAACTCGTAACCTCCCAGTCTAAATTGAGGGATATATCCCTGCTTTAATTTTCTAATCCGGCGGCCATATTGGACAGCGAAACAGAACAAACAGTGTTAAAGTTTTCTAAAAACAAATCAATTTAACCCTGAAATAAGCTGTTGTTCACAAAATGCAACTATTCTATTGATCGCATATTGATATTGCAACGATAAAAAATAACTTTTAACCTACCTTGTTTTGCAATATTCTGAATTTTATTTACTATCCATTTCCAATCCCGTTTTTCTTTTTTCATTTCGCCCGCGCTATTTCTGATTGGTTGATAGGATTCACATGATACAAAACCAACGCTTTAAACTCATTGGCTGTTTTGAAAACGAGGGATATGCCTAGATACCGTTTGTGTTATAAAGCATTTAGCATTAATAATGCCACGGATTTATACTAAGGTCGGTGATAATGGAAGAAACCAGCATGCTAAGACCTTTATTCGATCCAAAATAATGCAATATTAAATTGGAAATATCATGTATCCATAAACGATAACTTTGCATACATGTTTAACATAACCATTGATACTTTTTCATAGGCAAAACTTCGATTCTAATGCTCAATCGGTTATTTATTTTTTTGATAATAAATATAATAATAATAATATTAATAATAAATAATAATAATAATAATGATAATACTTATGATGATGATGATGATAATAGTGATTATAATAATAATAATATAATGATAATGATGATGATGATGAATACTTATGATGATGATGATGATAATAGTGATTATAATAATAATAATAATAATAATAATAATGATGATGATGATGATGATGATGATGATGATGATGATGATGATGATGATAATAATAATAATAATAATAATAATAATAATAAACGTTTTAGAAGCGCTAAGAAATATTTATAAATTACACAAATTTTTGTGACAACAACAATAAGCGGGTAAAACAAGACCCCACATTAAATTTACACATAGGACAAAAAGCCCCCCCCCCCCCACTCCATCAACAAAAGCCTCCCTAAGGTTTATAGACCAGACTGATTACTATCTATTTTTACACGCCCAGTGTTCGGGAACTTGGGTTATTCTTCAAATAAATCTAGACAAGAATGCGCCTTTCACTTTTATTTCCTTGATAAGCTTTGAAAAGCGATTCTCTGAAAATATTCATGTACATTTGTACTGCACAAATATAATAAAGTAAACATAAAAACATTCATAGCATCAATTAATTATAAGTACGAATTACACAATAAATAAAAATAGAACTTTTGTACCTTTAAATTTAAATCTTAACGTATATCAATGCATTTATTTGTTAAATTACATCAAGTTCCAGATTTGAACCGACGAGATTTCGCAATAACAATTGTTTGATAGACTGGGGGGGGGGGGGGCTTTTGTCCTACCTGTATTTTTGATAGGGGGGGCTTTTGTCCTACGTGTAAATTTCTTGGGGGGGGGGGGGCTTTTGTCCACCTTGTCATTTTTAGAGGGGGGGGGGGGGGTGTCCGGGGGCGGGGGGGGGGGGGGCTTTTGTCCGTATCCCCATTAAAATAAATAAATTACTTACTTACTTACTTACTTATACACATAAATGAAGTATAAAGATCCTTTCACATTATCTGCGGATTTCATAATTAAAATAAAACTTTATAAGTATAAGAATATTTGAAGCATCGGTAAAAATTCGAAAGTCCAATTTAAAAAGTGATTTTACTATCAATATATAATTTAGTATGTTCTTAACTTGAGTTTTTAAATCAAACTACGACAATTTTTATTTTTTTATTACAAAAACTGTTTCCAAGATACATAATTTTATTTTAACTAGGAAATTGACAGTAAAAAATACCGTTAAGACATTCAACACCAATTGCGCTAACTTACCTAATCCGAGAAAACTGACACTCGATATACCCTGCTGTGTTTATGATCAATATCCGGATCAATATCCGGCTTAATCAGTATTGTCTTCGATTATGGCAACACAGCACGTGGCTATTACACAATATTATGTCTTAATTAAATGAGACCGCGCGAAAAAAAATCAAAATTGGGGAATTCGGAACTTCATAAGATTTCTATTCAAAACTTGTGTACAGAAACGCAAATCTTTGTTTCCTTTCCTGAAATAAATAAATAAATAAATAAATAAATAAATAAATAAATAAATAAATAAATAAATAAATAAATAAATAAATAAATAAATAAGAAATATATGAATAAATGAGTAATGAATGAATGAATGAATGAATAAATAAATGAATGAATGATTGGATGATTAAATAAATAAATAAATAAATAAATAAATAAATAAATAAATAAATAAATAAATAAATAAATAAATAAATAAATAAATAAGAAATATATGAATAAATGCGTAATGAATGAATGAATGTATGAATTAATAAATGAATGAATGATTGGTTGATTGATTCAATGAATGATTCAATGAATGAATGAATGAATGAATGAATGAATAAATGAATGAATGAGATATCATTGTTGTTCTTTTACATATGCAAGTACATCTATTATATTATGTATAGCCTTTTTTTATAGGACATATATCAACGTAAAATTTAATTGCTGTGTGGACAATCCCGATTTCACAATTATTTTAACTTTCACGATTTCAACTTCACAGATTCACGATTTTATTATAATAAATTCATGTGTTGAACATCACAATTTCAACTTTATCATTTTTTCATGTTTGGCTTATCATTATAAAATATTATAATGATAATGAAAAGGAAATTACAAAATAACATGATTCACCATAGATGCAAAATGCAAAACAGTACTATCTAATCGTCAATCGCAATTGTAAAGTATTCGCTATTTATCTGGCGAGTGTATGCTAAAAGCAAAACCAAGCGGTATTGAGCTAGGAATACCGCGTCTGCATGTTACAGGTGGATGTCTTACACGTTCTGTGCACTGACGATTTTATTTGTACGCAATTGACGCGTCAATAACTCCGGGAAATTTTGCATTGTGTTAATTGTCAAATGTCTGACAAATATATGATCAGACTATTTCTTTACTCTTACAGGAAATAGGCTATTCAGAAGTAAATTTTCATTGGCTATTTCTATATACAGAATCCGTATTTGCACGAATACGGAATTTCGTATTTTAGTAATATACGGACTTGTTATAAAAATTCCGTATATTAGTAAAATACGGAGTTCGTACATCAAAGTTCCCGTATATTACGAGTGTACGGAGTTCGTATACTAGTCATATACGGACTGATATAATATACGGTCCCGTACATCTCCGTATTTCAAGTTTCCCGTATTCTTACACGTATATTAATGATATACGGAATTCCGTACACTTCCGTATATCCATGTCTTTTTCGCAGTGTAGCAAACCTAATATTCTTGTGAATTTGTATAACGAGGACATCATGTAGTTTTATTTATCAACCGATCCTTATTGATTCGCATAGCTGTAATTTTGGCTGCAATAATGCGTGATATTCGTGACTGTACTACATGATCTTTATGATATATAAGATCTGTTCTTCTCTTTTGTCTCCTTTTACAGACACAGTTTTGTTTATAATATATTATCCAGCAACTGATTGCAGGATAAAAAACAAGCGCACAATTGTTTTACCAACAACCAACTGATCTGCTTGCTGGTTATGATTTATGTTAATATTTAGACATTTAACGTTGCAACGGTTAAAACTACAGCAGGTAGTTTTGCAGGAGACCTTGACAATAATGGTGTGTCCGAAATTCAATAAATAAAACCGTAGCAACCTATTTTTATTACTTAAACTCTTCCAAGGATAAAAATTGAGATTTTTTAGTGCAATGTCATTATAATCTTTATTTTTCTCAAACGTTTCGTACAGAACAAGGTATAAGATGGAATAATTTTGAATACATATCTGCCGCCAACTTCCTTTTCTTCTTGATTGAAAAATTTCCCACAACTTATCACTTCTTACAGAAAACGCAAGCCATTACTGGTTCAAATTTGAGGTGCACAGTTTAGGCTATCGCGACACACACCTTATAGGATCTGTAGGTCTTGAATACCGTTACATATTTCTTTTTTATCTTCTGTGAATGAAGATATTATTCACTATTATTTTAGCAATAATTGGTGTTTTATAAAAATATATTTCGGCGAGCGGACACCCGTCAAAATGTGAAGGTGCTGATTTTTATTCTCGATGCAATTAAAAGGAAATTTCAAAAATTGTTACCCCCTTAGATAAAAATTTTAGACAATGTTTTTGCTGTCAAATTGAGTAGAATTATTATTATATATATAAAGAGATTGACTTTAATGACAAGTGAGCAATAATTGGTAATTAAAAATGTTGTGGATTAAAAATAAAAAAGTAATCATAAAAAAGACTGCACCTTTAAACGTTACCAATACATTCCAAACGATGTTTGTAGAAATGTCCGTGTGTTGCATAGAAGATGATTGTTCTCTTCATACTTATTTGTATATGCGTTTAATATTCATTTCTTTAAATTTGATTTAAAATAAAATATTTTGGTTTGTTTACTTACTGTGTTATTCGTTTTGGCGATAGCGTTGCACAAATTCGGCTATGTCGTGTATGTATGCAAACATTAATATCACGTGTTACACGTTAGTTTGTGAATCTTTGTAACTAAACTAAATTAAATGATAACTAATACTGGCATGCGAGCAGTTCCCGTACAGAAGCAGTACCCGTATTTTTCATTTAAACGCTTGATTTTTACTTGCAGTCTTCAAAAATTCATTTCAAATCAAGCAGATATATACACGAGACAAAATCTAATGCAGGCGTCACACTGTCCCGAAATTGACACAAGAAGGGCATACGAATATAAAATTTTTAATTTCGTGCGAAGATAGCCCCGAAATTGGTCGACAGTCTCTGAACAGCCGAAACAAGTACGATTCCTACAGAAGGTCAAGCGATGCGCATCCGAGTCACACATGATTTCCTACCGAAGGTCACCGCGATCGCATCCGATACACACACGAAGTCACCTCAAATATGCAATTTTGTACCAACGTAGATTACCAGCAGCACACGCGAAGGTCACAGGATAGGTACACGACGTCGTATTTTGAGTACGTTGCCTTCGTACCGTGGTTTTACGAAGGCGTCAAGTGACCTTCACCTTCAGTTGGTATACAACCCTCGGCCAACCGCGGCAAACTTCAGTTGCAGATAGTATCGGGAGCTAATTAAACTTCGTTTAAACTTTATTTTGGCTCTTCATATTACTATCAAAAAAAACAATTCTATTCACACAAAAATCTATGATAAAAGTGATTACTTTGATATGGTATAGTAAACTATCCACATTAAGATGGAGACGTATCGCATGCAACATCTGACGGGGTATATGTATCTTCGCTAGGGCTTTTAGCAACGTGAAGGATTTTAACAAGCCTTATATTTTTCATACTAGCAAGCTACTCAATAAAGGGCTACCGCTATTATAAATTACGTAAAAATTTAAAACAAAAATTTTAACAAAATCGTAACTTTGATTTAATCTCAAAATTCATTAGTGATTTAAAAATGATTTTAATGGAGATGTCATTGTAATTTTTCTGTGGCCTTTACTAAAATTATTAACGTTTAACCAAAAGCGGGTTTTGGGACCATACTTTTTTAGATAA